GAAGAAGGTCTTTTCTAAGCAGCAAGGTGAGGAAACACAGAAAAATATGCTGATTTATGGAATAATATTTTCTTTCTACACTGCAGTCTTAGTACAGTTCAAAGACTTTAAAATGAACGATCAGCATTTGTGCAGAAACGTTATCCTAATGAGAAAATGAACAAAAGGAGAGAAACACTTCTGTTTCTTGGGACACTATTTCCTTTTAGACCACAGCACCACCTAGTGGTGAATTAATCATCTCGCGTCTTCATGATGATGACAACTTTATTTATGAAGCACTTACAGAAACAAAGATAGGAAGTCCTTCGCTTCAACGAGATGTAGAGCAGAGGTATTAAAAACCACATAAAGGAGAAACGATTCATCCAAAACCTGGACACTGATGTGAAGGACTACTCGCTCTCTTTATGAGGATCAAGGAGGTTTTGGAATATGATTTAATTTCACGAGTGTATTCCTGACTGTTATGAATTCCCTTGGGACTTTTACATCCCTTTTTAAGATTTCTAGTATCTGAAAAACAATGAACACACCATGAAGGAAGAAGAATCTGTTTCACTGAATCTTACGGCCAAATTGGTATTCACATACAAGCAATTAAAACATATTAAGAGAAAATAAAAAATCACAGCCAAGTGGCCTACTGCAAAAGCTTAGTAAAATAAATATAGAATAGAAAAATGTACAATAAAATATCACAGTTCACAGTATAGAGAATATGTGCAATGTACAGAGATAATAGTCCAAAAGATGTTCACGTAACAAAGACGGATGTTAAACATTTAGGTTAAAGAAAGAGTTTGCAACAAGTCACGAATTTAAAAAAAATTTTAAAATCTAAAATTGTAATCCGAGCTATCTACAAAGTTCGCCTTAAACTCTCTCTAGAGAAATGCTCCGCCCTGCCAGACATGCGTCGCTGACTCCAGTGTGTTTATTGGTGCGTTTCCAGGCAAGGCATTCCTTCGAGCTCGTCAGATGAACGTGGACATCGGGACGTGGGTGAGGCTGCTTCGAAACGCCATTCCCACGGTCAACAACTCGGGAACCTACAGTCCTAACGCACACAGCCAGACACTCAACTCCGGGTGAGACACACACAAAGTGCATAAGCCACACAGATGCACACACTCCACTTCCCTGCACTGGAGAGACGCTCTTTATCCACGTTTGACAGCCATCAATCAGACTGTTCTGTCGAGCGCAGCAGCATTCCTCGAACCTTTTCCCCTGGTGTTTCCTGGCAAAGTGTAAAGCACGTGATGCTTTCTCTGCCCCCTCGTCTAACTGCCCTCTTGTGTTTGTCCCTGTCCATTTGTCTCGTGTGCATCGCCGTGTTGGTCTGTTTGTCTGCGTCTGTGTGAATGTTTTTTCAGGGAGTTCTCATTGGAGAAGCTGAGTTTGGACAGCGACTCTCCGATAAGAGGCGATTTCAAGAGAGACGCGGACGCAAACACCCCGGTGAGACAGACGGAGGGAGAGGAAGCCCGGGAAATGGGGGAGGTGTGTGTGTGTGGGGGGGGGGGGGGGGGGGTCTATTGTAGTAAAACCACTCTCTTGGCTGTGGGATGAAGGGTCTCTCTATATTTAGTCGTGATCCACGAAAACACTGAGATATTACTTTAATCAGTAAATAATGTAATGATACACAATCCACTCCATAATAATTACAATTTAGGTCAAGTTTGGACTTTATTTTGAAACTAGCAAGACATTTTGACGTAAAGTCATTTGGGAAAATTGCTAAGATGTCATTCGATGTGCTCCGAAACAGCTGTTCAATGTAGCCGTTTCCATAATGTTGCGGTCATGTCATATCAGAGTCATCGTAACTTAACTTGTAAATTGTGTTCATGTCCGCATCTGTACTGTGAATGTGATTTGGAATTTTCTGAAAGCTCCGATGTATCCAACTTAATAGAGTACAAGTGCCTAAAAACCAAACATGGACGTGCAATGAAATTAAACCCACGTCTAGTAGATGCTGTTTAATAGTGTCAGTGCACAGCATCTTTAACCCTCACACAACCACTTAGCAACGATGCAGCTCTCTTTCATTCGTCTGATGACGTGAGCGCCTGTCCCACAGCTGATATGACACGTTCTGCACCAGACAGACGCAAAGCGAACCCCGCTCCCTGGAAGGCTGCTTGTGTGTCTCGTCCGTCACAAAATCACCATCGTGTCTCTTGACCTCCATTATCTCGCTGTCTCTTCGTGTCTCTGTCTGTCTCTTTTCCTTCGTGTCCCTTTCCTCGCATGTCCCTCCTCAGGACCGACTGCCAGTCATCGAGCCCTTCTCCCCCCCAGACCTCACCCCCGAGTGCCCTGTCCGAACCCCATCTGTTGGCAGGTACACACATGAACAATGTATCTTTATGAGTTTCTTTTTTGTATCTTGTCCACATCATATATATATTTTACTATAATTACTGTAACACTGTCCTTTAGTCTGATATTGTGTGTTTATACTCTTCTTTATATTCTATACTTGTCTGTATAAGTTGTTTTCACGGAGGACATTTTGACATAAAACCCCTGCTGTAAATGACAAACATAAATGATGTATGCCATGACAAATGATGCTGTCATATAAGATTTTCAATCTCGTTTTCTGTATTTTGGTATTTACTCTAAATGTTCCTGCTGACTGTGTGTCCGTCTCTCCAGTAAGCAGAGGAAAGGTCCTCTGTCTCTCCAGGACTTCCGGCTGATTGCTGTGTTGGGCAGGGGACACTTTGGGAAGGTAGTTTGCCAAAGGCCTTGTTGGTTGTTTTTAAAACACCTGCTGAAAAAGGGTCAGACCTTATTGCACAACATTCATTCATTTAAGAGAGTTTTAATTCCTCTTCCACATTAAATCAGTAAACATGCATGTCTAGAAGCCCGTAGTTCACTCTGTACAGGTTGTGTACGTTTTGAAACAGACCCGAGTTGTTGCTGCATGTGTTCGTCTCCAGGTGTTGTTGTCAGAATACAAGAAGACGGGCACAATGTACGCCATCAAAGCCCTGAAGAAAGGAGATATCGTTGCTCGCGATGAGGTGGAAAGGTGTGTGACTGGATCTCTTGAATCACCATACAGTTCATTTGGGGGATGAGTGTACGTGTCTCATCAACCCAAAATAAACACACTCTTATTTTTCTCTCCAATCTTTTTACTCTCCTCTCCACAATCCTTAATTTTTCTCTCATCTTCTGCATTCTCCCATCTTCTTTGTCTCTCTCCCCTCCACTCTTACTCGCCTCCTTCTCTTGTTCATTTTATTTTGCCTCCTCCTCATCCTCCCACCCTGCAGTCTAATGTGCGAGAAGCGCATCTTTGAGGTTGTGAACCTGTCGCACCATCCCTTCCTGGTCAACCTGTTTGCGTGCTTCCAGACTCCAGAGCACGTGTGTTTCGTTATGGAGTACACAGCAGGAGGCGACCTGATGATGCACATCCACACAGACGTCTTCACCGAGCCGCGAGCCGTGTACGTAAAATCTGCATATACGTGTGTGTTTGAGAAAGAGAAGATGCTAAATGGAGCCTTAATGATTGTGATAAGTGAGTCTGTAAACACACTTTGCATATCCCGTAAAGCTGATAGCAGGTTAGACGAGTTCAATCATTTTCAGGGCTTTTTAAGTGTGAATTACTTTAAATCTCAAAATACTCAAAGTTTCTTAAGCAAGGAACACTGTCCAGGAAAAGTGAAAAGTGCATTCGATCCTAAAATGATCTTAACTTTGGATAATATCCACTTAATTTGTCTTACTGAGACATTTGTCAATGTTTGCATGTGAGTGTTATAAGACGCTTATAACGGTGGTATTGTATTGAACTGCATCATACTAAAAGGTGTTTCTAGTATTTTGTTCTTCCCCTGTATATAGAATATAATACAAACATTCAAATCTCATTAAAGGCCCTTCACAGCCCACAGGTGTTTTCCATTATTCTGTCCGTTAGCGCAGGGCCTTTTGAGGAATGAAAGAAAAGTCTGGTTTATAAATCAGTTCAGTTTCGTCCTTCTCAGTAAACGTGACCAAAACCAAAAGCCTACAACTTTGACATTAAAGACCTGGTGGCGATGGGAGTAGTCGTAGTGGTGTGTCCATTTTTGTTCCCATTTGTTCAGTTTTGTACTCATTATGGGGTTAACGTTTTATCGCCTCTTCTTGCAGGTCAGTAATAACGTTTCTTTGGTTTGACTTTAGGTTTTATGCAGCCTGCGTAGTTCTTGGACTTCAGTTCCTCCATGACCATAAGATTGTGTACAGGTGAGTGGACGCCGCACAAGCCTGTTTCCTCTTGTGATAGTTGGGATGTAGAAAACACATCTATGTCTACTGAAGAGAAACAAAACAACACTTATCCAATTTGAATCTGTTTAGAGAAGCTCTCAACATAATACTTGCTAGACATTAGCATGCTAATGTTAGCAGTTAAAAAGCCTCACTGAGAAGCATGACTTTACTGAACTCTTTTAAACTGTACTCTCAGCTGTGCTTGTTGAATTACTGCAAAGACGCACTAATTCTCAGCTATATCTTTAATGCTCTTTCTCATTCAGAGACCTCAAGCTTGACAACCTGCTGCTAGATACCGACGGTTATGTCAAGATCGCCGACTTTGGACTGTGTAAAGAAGGTGGAGATCGATGTTACTGATAGATGAGCTTATTTTTATTTCTCTTTTTTCTTCTTCTCTAAAACGGTTTCATGTTTCTGCCTCGTGTCTGTAGGAATGGGCTTTGGGGACCGCACCAGTACCTTCTGTGGGACTCCAGAGTTCTTGGCCCCAGAGGTCCTAACGGACACATCCTACACCAGGGCAGTAGACTGGTGGGGGCTGGGGGTCCTCATCTATGAAATGTTGGTGGGAGAGGTGAGGATTAGCACACACTCGCATACACAACGTTCTTACACTGTGTGGTGTGACAGCTGAACGAAGCTTTGTTTGAGCACACATTACAAAGTGGTTAGTTTACTAATGAATTTATTTAATTCATCCAGTATCATCCCACTGTCTCCATATGTTTCCTATTACTGTAAACCAGTGATCCTCAACTTATGGCCCACGGGGAGGATTCTCCAAATCCTCTGACAGGGGTCCGGCCTGTGTTTATGAATCATTCCAACATTTTAGTAATTAAGTGTTAATGTTATAGAAACTTTTTCAAATGTGACCAAAGCATTTACACCTAAAATGCAGTAGAATATTAGATTTATTTGTCATATGGGCCTAGTTAATAAGTTAATGAGTCAGTTAATTTGAATATAAAGAATTTCAAAGAAGAAAGAGTGTATTAATTTGATCTGATAAATATTATTCATGTTGATGTTTATTAACTGGCCACTGGCCTCCTGACATTTAGAACAAATGGTATCCCTGCTGTAAACGATCCAAAAACGGATCAAACACCATATATATCATACCCAACGCCAGCCAAGAGCAAAATAAATACAAGAATTATTCTTATTGCAAGTGCCCTGAATTTCTTCAGTCTTAGGTTATTTATATTCCTGCGCTCCTTTTCACAAAGAGAGCTGGATGTTTACAATCAATAACAACATGTTGACTGTGGTCAATGCATATTCATTTGTGAGATTCAAATCTGTAAAATGGATTGTATTGAATCAAGTGTGCTTTTGTGTGTCCACCTTTTGTGTGTCCACCTTTTGTGCGCGTGTGTGTTGGTAGTCTCCATTCCCAGGAGATGATGAAGAGGAGGTGTTTGACAGCATTGTGAATGATGAAGTCCGCTATCCACGCTTCCTGTCTACTGAGGCTATCGGCATCATGAGGAGGGTAAGAATACTCAAACACAAAGAAACAATGTCTCCTTCTCTTGCTGACTTCATCACCCATGAACACGAGGTACACATGAAAAACTTGTTATTCACCAACGTGTGTGTGTGTGTGTGTGTTTTCATGAGCAGCTGTTAAGGAGGAACCCAGAGAGAAGACTGGGATCTGGTGAAAAGGATGCAGAAGAAGTGAAAAAGCAGCCTTTTTTCAGAGTAAGTACACTGTTTTTTGTTTAATTAGATATAGATATAGAGATAGAGAGAGATAGATAGATAGATACACGATTCGTGTTTTTCCACACTTGGATCGTCGCATGTGGATGAGGTGGAAGACGGTGTTTACATAGCTTTACTTGTCCTTTTTGACACTTTAAAGGAAACTATACACAAAACTAAAACAGACCTGCAGATTCTAATTATGTCTCCGTTTCCATCCAGAATGTGGACTGGGAGGCGTTGCTGCAAAGGAAGGCGCCCCCTCCCTTCGTCCCCTCCATTGTCGGCAAGGAAGACGTCAGCAACTTCGACGAGGAGTTCACCACCGAAGCTGCGGCGCTCACACCGCCACGTGAGCTTCGCGTGCTCACCCGCAAAGACCAGGACAGCTTCCGGGACTTTGACTACATCTCCGACCTCTGCTAGTGGCCCGGTGGGGGGGGGCTCACAGACCTTAGAGGAATGTTCTGCTTCAAAAGGCTTGGCGGCGGGACCGACGTTCTCCATTGACCATCCGCTGACTGTGTGTCTGCCGTCAATTTACACTGTGAATGAATGCGGAGAAACCGGAGGCAGTCTGTCTCTTTTGTGTGTGTCTGCGGGGGTTTTAAAGATGGAGGACTGAGCAAATAAAAGCACGGACGGACAGCCGGCGGGGTGGAATGTTGGACAAACGAAGGCCCGCTTCTCCAATCATTGTACAACACACCAGTGACTTGTGTATATTTACAAACATTAGCCTTTAAAATGCCTCCTCCCATCGTCTTATGTGTCGGTGTGTTCATGAGCAGCTGTGAGAGGAGATGTTGACTGTTTGGGGTGGGGGGGTGGGGGGGGTTGTTTCAAGGCCTCTCATACAATGCCTTACATTTGCATTTGATCCACAGAAAAGCATCTTGTTTCCATTTTGTGGCCCTTTTGTATACAGCAGCAGGAAGAGTGACCCGATGCAGAAGACACGAGGATCAGCTCGTTAGTGGAAACAGTGAATTAGTACTCGAAGCTTTCCCAGCGGTCTATGATGACTGTTGCTAGGCGAATTATGAGTTACCTATGGGGTTAAAAAAAAAAACACTTTCTTACTTCTACCAACTACTTTTTAAAAATGTGTGCTGCTCGGATTTTAATTTGTGCCACGAACGTTACAAAAGCAATTCGTAAAGAAGTCCTATTTTATGACGGTCGCCTCCTCTGTGCATTATTGGATGCCCACCACAGACTTTTGAATTGGATATCTGGGCGTTATACATAGTTTGATAAAAAACAGGTGTAGCAGACACAGAATCACAACCATCAGCATAAAAGCTACGTGGCAAGCAGGTTACGTTATTTCACTCTTTTTATAATTAGGGAAAAAAGAAAACACTAAGACTTGATGTACGAGTAACATTATGGCGTCTGTCCGTTATGGGTTTGAGACACGTTCATCCAGTCATCGTCATGCGTAGAGTTTTGTGAACATGAAGGAAGTAATTTCCCTCCAAGACACTTTTATCCGACTTTAAACTCAAACACTGGCTCTAATGTTTTTTTTTTAATGTGTGTGTTTTAAGGACTTAAGCCACCAACAGTTTTCCCAACTATCCGTTGTGATCATTCCAGAGTTTCCATCATAGGGATGAATTCATCCTTGTTTCAGCCGCAACAGATTGATATCGAAGTTATTTTGGAAGATCCGAGTGAAGCCACGATCAGCCACTTCGAGTGCTGCTTTATGTCCCAGCGAAGTTCTCTTGGCAATTCATTTCTAAATGGACAATATCATTTGAAACAGGATGATCAGTGTTGGAAGAATATGAGCCAGTGGTAATAAACTTCTGTAACACGTCACCATCTCTGAGTACCGGAGAGGTTTGTTGTGAAGCTGTATGTATGATGGTGTGGATTTTACTTATCTTGTGTTTGACAATACAAAACCCTGTGTGAGGATGAGATGACGCATTTTATAAAGAGAACCTGGAGTGAATATTCTGTCTGTGTTCATTCAAACCAAGGAACGACGAGAACAGATGCAGATAGCTTTTCAATGGAATCGAGTCGTGAGGATTTTGTTCGTATCATGTCATCTTTTTACAAAATCGTATGGAATAACAATAATCAAGAGAACGTCATCAACCATGTATGAGGGCACATAATGGAACATAAAGCATCAGCATCTTAAAAAGCGTTATTTGTGATATTGATAAAGGACATCAGGTGCAAGTTCAAAAAAAGTACCGAGATCTTTGTGACGGTCTTAATTATTACACAATAACAGCATAGTTCTGCCCACAGCTTCCTTAAAAGGTGGTTGAGCCTTTGCTAACCTAGCATTGGTGTTAGCATTCCATGTCGGTCTGCTATCAATAATGCTGTACAGGTACTTGTACTCTTTGAATGTTTTTGTAGGAAAAATACTCAAATGCCCGTCTACTGTGAGAATATGAAATGATATTATTCACATTATCAGCGACCAAGGTGACATTTTCAAAGATTTTCAAGTGGTAAGTTTCTACTAACATTAAAACTAGCTTTTGTTCTATTCAATGTAAGCCCCGATAGTGAGCCAGCATGCACAATGCCACTACATTGAAACATCAACATATAAAGTTTAAACATCAATAGCTCATTGGTTAATAGGCAAACTCAACTGTATGATGAGGACAGTATGACATGTTTGAAAGCTCCAGAACGAGTGAGTAAGTAGACCTTGACTTGAGAGTATTTAAACTAAAGCTGAACTGTAGATGAATTAACCCGGACCTTTCCATTTTCTTCTTCAGACCCTGACTTAATAATAACCCCACTTGAATGAGATAATTATTAATTGTTAAGGTATGACTCTGTTATATGGGTTTAACATGGTCACATTAATGCTGCGTGCGTGTGTGTACAGTCAGAGTGTGTGTGTGTGTGTGTGTGTGCGTGTGTGTGCGTGTGTGCGCGCGCGTGCTGCTGGTCCATCCTGCCTGCCTGCCAGAGAGGGGAGTCGAGAGCTCTGCTAAGAGCTACATGGTGCTCAATTTTTCAAGATGTCGTCGCTGGAACAGAGGCTGTCGCGAATCGAGGAGAAACTAAAGCAGGAAAATGAAGAAGCTCGCCGGAGAATCGACCTCAACATCGACATGAGTCCGCAGCGACGTCCGAGGCCGAGTGAGTGTGCACCGGGGATTACCGGGGAGTCGGTAACGGGCAGAATAGCAGGGGGAAAGACCGGAGAGGCGGAGTGAAGGAGTTATGCTGCTCCTAGCTACTACATGCTAACAGGCTAGCTACATAAACAAACACCGACTCAGCTGGCTCGCTAGATTTTAGTGTCAAATGACTGACTTCACAAGTGGTATAGTTTATACAGTGAGTCAAGCAAAATACAAAAATAAAAAATGATATGCTGTCACGAGACGTCTCGCTGGCAGTCACGTCCTGAAATCTGCTCCGTATCTGTCCTGTCAAACCATGCTAGGCTAACAAGCTAGCAGTCTGAGTGATAGTCTGTGGCAGGGCCCAGCGTCCATCTGACCAGTGTTCTTATTCAGTCTACTTATGAAACATTTTGGAGGAGACGTTTATCTCGAGCTTATCTGTAGTCTCACATAAACTACTAAGCAGCGGGTTTGCTTGTGACTCCTGCAGCAAAGTCATTATTGTTTTCACTGCCAGTTTTGACCCTTGAGAAAGCAGACGCTGGTTAGTGGAAGCTATGAGATCTAGCTAACGTTCAACACACGTTATGTTGCCACATGAGCTACCACTTAACACACGGTAGTCACGTTGCTGTCTGCTGCGGACTTATTGTCATGAAGTCCTCCACAGTTTTAAAGTGAGTGTGATGTTATAAAAGCTGGTGTCACGTTGGGCCCTCGAACCGTCTGGAGGGGAAAACTGTCTCCAGTGTGAGAGTCTGCAGCATGCCTGTGCTGACTGACATGTATCACCGGAATAAACAGAAAGCTCTTCATTATCTTACCAGTGCAGCACTGTTCTCTCAGTGACTGTTCAAAGATCATTCTCTCCTACAGATCACCACTTCTTGTCCATCTTGACACACTTTTGTGAGGTTAAATGAGCTGTTCGTAAGATGGTGAGTGAGTTAAAGGAAAGGCTGCTGCTATTCTGTATTTTCCTCATTGTCAACTAATCTTAGGAATAGACCCAAACCACGTATTACCTGATATTCCTGTCTTAATGTTATTATAAAATCCAGTGTTTTCAATGTTCACCAGCAATTCCTCGCTACCTCACTTAAAGTTACCCCGTTAAGTTCCACGCAATAAGTTATACAAATTTTAAATCTGGGAAAAAGAGACCGCTGGTATCGAGTCGGTCCTCTGTATGAGCAGATACTCTGAGTTGAGGAACATCCCTATTAACAGCAATGATGTTGTTGCATTACAGTGAACACGGGCACTGCAGTTTATTTTGAGCTGGTGTACACCATACGGCTGCTACAAATTCTCACTGGAGCGCCAGATGTGCATTAATCTGCAGTTGTAGACCGTCCACAAATGAATAGGTACCTCTGTTTGAGTAACGTTTACTAAAAACTCCAGTGCCCAGCTGTTTAAGGAAATAACTGAGCCTTTTCTTCTAAATTACAACAGTATGTTTGTGACTTAGTTTTAAAGACTCATGACTTCAGTAGCAACCAGTGGGCATGGGGCTTGATGCCACAGACATGGTTTTGGAAGTCGGAAAGTATTGAAAGACGCGCTATCGCTTCGTTGATTTTGGTCTTTTCAAAGCATTTATTGACAATAAGAAAAAGATAGAATAGAGAAAGAGCTTATCCTGTACACTCCTATTGAGAACAAGGGACTTATAAAGAAGAATGTGTGTTCCCCCCCCCCCCCCCTTTTTTTTATGTGGGAGTGTGTGTGTGTGTGTGTGTGTGGTTGTCTCAGTAGAACAGTGCAGTAATATGCGTGTGTGTATATTTTTTTTCCCTCCGTCTAGTCATCGTGATCCAGCTCAGTCCTGCTCCAGCCCCTTCCCAGCGTGCAGGTATCATTCAATCCATCGCTCTCTCTGCCACTGCACCTCTCTGCATAAACCTGTCCCCCGTTTCCCCTCCCATCCCCTCCTCCCTTATCTTTGATGGGATTCAAAAAAATAAGAAATACAGAGATAAACACAGGCAGTTATCACATTTTCACGAGTCAGGTTTCCCTCCTTTCCTCACGTTCGTCTTTTTAACACTTTGATGCACGTTTCTTACATCCAGTGTTATTAATAGGCTTTAAAAAGTCGTCTTATGTCTTTAACAAGTGGCTGTAAAAGTGCATTTACCCTCTCCAGCAAATAAAGGGGCATGTTGTATTCCAGCCAGCTTGATGAGATGGTATTTTAAGTAATCAAGTAATATTTAAGAAGTCATTTATGTTGGCATCAGGTGACCAGGTTGGTGTCATAGACATGTATTAACCACATCGTTGAACAAGCCAGCGTAAACACTTGCGCACACGTACTTAGTTTCTTATTCCTGTTCTCACACCATTATCTGAGAAGTTTACTCCTGAATGAGAACCTCCACTGAGCGGCAGCAGTTAAACCCATGTCTGTGAGACCACTTCTGATATTTAGGCCCATCAGTTATGTCGAACCTCCCCTGAAAGTCACGTCCTCTCTCCATCTTTCCATTCTGACTCCTCTCTCTTGTCAGTGTGTGCCAGTGGCAGGGCAGTGTTGGTGTGCGTTGATGTTCACTGTGTGTGTGTGTGTGTGTGTGTGTGTGTGTGTGTGTGTGTGTGTGTG